CCACAAAAACGAAGTCTAGAAAATGGAGGTCGAACCACAGTAGTCACGTTTAGTCAATGTGCTGTAATTCTCCGTCAGCGTGGCGCAAAATATGTAAACAACGCCAGCCGTAGTGACCCAGCTGTCTTGTGGCTAAGACGCATAATTTGGCCACACATAATTTTTCCACACACTACCACGCATTTCCAGGTTAAAAAGCGCGGAAGTCAAATATTGCGTGGATACATATGTTCCTCTCATATATAAATCGTACATTTTGTAAATATGGGCTTATGTAGGGTCGCAATTTACCTTTTTTGGTCAAGAATCCGTCACCGCATTCCTTTCAAGATGGCGGCTCTGCTGCAGAGGCCATTGACCTTAAAAGGAGTGCAAAGGTCACATTCTGGGAGTACTTGTTTGTATTTTAAGCAAGGACATATAACAGTATAATGTCCTTGGTATTAGATTCAGATGTCACACATGTGTTTCTTCAGATGAGGTGCCTTATATAGTTATACTTAGTTATATTGACCTTATGTATTAAGCTAGATTCTGGGCTGTGACAACTGACAATGCACTCGATTGTTATCGCATACACAGGTAAACCGCATTGATTCAATGGCACAAGCTGCATAAGACTGGACAGGAAGGTTTGAACTTAGTAACTCACATCGGACCTCTTTTCCAGAAATGCATCATGTTCTTGTAATAACATGCGTGGGGTGTGGCTCTACTAGTAAGTCTAAAACACAGGAACTCCATTGAACGTCCTATTTGACTCATTTTCACCAGCGTCAAGTAGGATTTGTAGAATACAAATCAATGTATAAAATTGTATATCAACACATAATATGAATATGTAGTATATCTTCATATCTGGAAGCATAATGATAAATTATCTTAATGCCATTGGTGTATCTTTACCATTTCCTAATTGATATTTGCTTGATGCCATCAACAGGACGTGGGGTCATATTGAAAGCTAAATTACGATTGTACCAGTGGCCTATACATACTAGTACCTCTAGCCATGGAGTCAGAAATCAGAAGATTTTTTTACTCCATGCTCCAGCCAAGCCCATTAAGCCAATCACGTCACATAGGCCACTGAATGCACCAGGTTAGATGGTTACATGTATAAAAATGTCTTAGGTACAAGGGTATAGGAGATGGCAGCCACAGCTTACTTACTAGTTGTATGTTACTAAGTAATACATGTAACATTTCATTGTATAGACTGCCACTGTGGCAGAGTCTAACGTTATATATGATTGGTGATTGCCAACAACTGACCTGTACTTGAGCCCATTGGAGCAAAAATGTACATTTAGGCCACACCAATTTAATTTGTTGGTTCTCGGATTTTTTCAGAAAAAATATGAAGCGACAGGGCGAAAAAAAATAAAGATAAAAACAGGTCTAGGCATCCTATTATACTTATAGGCTTAAATGCTACAAAATGAGCCATGAAGTCAACACAAAAGGCTGGGTTAAAATTTAAACATTGAATTTTGAACTTTTAATCAAACCACTGCAATGATAGATGGGAAAACTGTACATAACAACTAGGAAGAAAAGGACTTTCCTCAACTGTTGGGGGGCAAAACATGAGCATTTTTCAGTTGATTCAGGACCAGAATCAATTTTTTTTTTGCAAATCAGAAAAAATGAATAGGCGAATCCGAGAACCAACAAATTAAATTGCTGTGGCCTTAACCCTTGTCCTGCTGGCAATTTTTACACATTATTTTCAAATAATTTCATGTCTTAATCAGGTCACAGACCCTTGACTTTTTTTGCCCTGCGGCGGCGTAGTAACTTCCGCATTCGTTGCGTTTCGCTGCGGTGTGATGCGTTGCACGAGAAACACCCCCAAATCGTACATATACAGGGCACTATATAGATGGTACTGTATGTACAACCCATATATATATGGGCCCCGCAGGACAAGGGTTTTAAGACTTTTAATATTAAAATATTAATGTGCAGAAAGTACAGGGCACAGTCACCATCTGAAGAGCACATTGATTGGTTATATTCTTATACAAACATGTTCTAACTGCATGACTGCTACTCCCAAAAGTTAACATTTGACCTTTGCACTTCTTTCCCTGACAAGGTCAATGACCTCTGCAGCAGAGCTGTTGAAAGGCCCAGTACAAGCAGGTTAGGTTCAGACAGACATCAGAAATAGTCCAATACCTGCACATTACAGCGCCTGCATTAAGGTGTGTCTGTGCATCCAGTACTACAATGTACTAGTAATTTGAGCCCTGGTACTTAAAAAATTGAGTTCAAATAAAATTGTCCTCTTTTTCCTACCTGTATATTTCACATTTGTATTGATATTATTATTATTATTAATTTAGTTTGTTGGTTATCACAGGGGAGTAGGGCAATGGGTCTACAATGGACTACAGCCGTCTGATCCCCTGCTGCCAGCCTTGTGTATCACACATCACCATTCAGGAAGACCGACAACAGTGCCAGCTGATCCCAACTCAAGAGGCGAAGGCATCCCAAAGGATCCCCAAGCATAGTAAAGT